GATTAGAAGTGCTCAAAACTTGAAAATGAAAAACAGCTTCCCATTAAAACAAAATCGCCGTTCAAAGTCGACATAAAACTGTAGGGACCCCTTTTGTGCCACAACATTAATAGCCCGAACACAATGAAAACGACGAGCTATGGACCATAGCTGTCAAATTATTTTAACACGTACTCTTATGTAGATAATTATTTTGGCGCCGACCGGGCAACGCGACGACTGTGGTTGTGGCCAGATTAGATCTATTTCTATTTTTCCAGCGACAGATTAGGTTCTTCCTCTTTTTTTATGTCAAACTCGTACAAATTCATGATGTCGCCGGAGCATTCAAAAAAATCATGTCGCCATCGACAAAGCGTTCAGACAATGAAGATAACAAATTGGAAGCTGTGGCCCGTAGCTCGTCGTTTTTAATGTGTTCAGAACTTAAGGCGCACTTTACAAATCGGAGGAGAATCTCGGTCAAACACTAACATATTGTGTAACAACACGTAGAGGTTGAGGTGTTGTCTTAAAACACCGAAGTCGCGGGTTCAAATTCCACCACATGCAATCCTAACTTTATTACACATTTCAACCCTTAAAAGCCCAATTTATATCGGGAAGAATTATCCTTGTAATGTGAGTGTTGCGAAGACATTAATTAATATTAGCGTTGTTATAAAATTAAGGTTAAGTGAAAAAACCGCGTGTCTTTTCTTTAAAAATTCAGAACTCAAGAGAGTTTATTACAAAAAATACAATTCTCAGTTGTCATTACAGGGTTGCAAAAGGTAAAACAATTCAATGTTCAGTACAACATTACAGGGCTGCAAAAGTTAGTAGGAAAGTAAAAGACTATGCAATAATATTGAACAGTGAGTTTATTACATTCGATACGATACTAGGGTTCTGGTACTCGATTCCAAAAAATATCGTTTTAAATCACTGATAAACAAAAAATTTTCAGGTAAAAGTGTCACCGTTTTTGAAATATTTACATTTTTTCGAATTTAAAAAA